CATCATATCACATGCCTTTTTTCTTCATTACCCCGCCCACACAAATTGTTCTTTGAGATATCAGTGCTGTAGAATTTTGAAAGTCGTCATAAATATTTTCTGCCTTTTTTTTTTAGAGAAGACACAAAAACTTTTAAGTCGGAGAGAGATAATGATTGGTTGAAGTTTTATTATGAGGTTTGGCTTTTATATTAGGCTTACCCACTGTGGCTGAGTATGACTGGTATTTTAAAAAAGCACAACTTCAAAAATGATCAGTACTCTGTAGTGATATTTGGTGGAGTTTGTTTTACCACTGATGTTTCTGTTTTTGTATGTAGAATAAATTTACGTTTTGTACCTTACAGTTATAAATAGATGATTAAAAGGACAACAGATAATCCAGTTTTAAAGAAAAATGGTAGTATGCTTATATCTTTTGATAACTCCATTTTGATAATAGCTCCATTTTATTAATTTCTTCTACTTTTTTTACTTAATTTACTATATTTTTCTCATAGCTTCTTAAAGTGGAATTTAGGTGTGTTTTTTTTTTTAACCCTTTTTCCTTTTTGAATATATACATTTAAAAGTATATATTACTAAGCACAGTTTTGAACGTATTTCTCAAGGTTTGCTATTTAGTGGTTTTATTTTCATCCAGTTAATTTATATTGAACGTTCTTTGATCCATGAGTTACTATTTCTTCCTAGCTGCCCTTGTTTTTTTGTTTTGTTTTTTTTTTTTGAGTTAGATAACTTCATTTCAGTCCTGACATCTTTTGAAGTTGATTTACTAAGTTTATCTGTCTGAGAAAAGTTACTCAGTTGTACTGTTTATAAATGTGTCTGACTTGTAGTTCTATCAATTTTTGTTTTATATAATTCAAGCTTATGATACTACAAGGTGACAGTGTTATTGTATCTTTGAGCTTTAAATTTTATTATAAAGTGTTTCTCCTTATTTCTAATTATGAATTTTGTTTTAAGCTATATTTATTTTAATATCAGACAGCATTCTTTTGGTTGATTTTTGTACTATATATGTTTTTCATCGTTTTACTTTCAGTATTTTTTATCCTGATATTTAATTTACCTTGTATGGGGTGTATCGTTTTTGACTTTTATGTTTTCAGTCAATTTTTATCTTCTAATGAGAACATATACTTCACTTGCATTTAATGTAAATTAGTTTATATATTTGGATTTTAATTTGGCTAGCTCCCTGACAATTGTTTGTCTTATGTGTTTTGTATTCATTTCTCCTTTTTGTTTTCTTTTGAATTATTTTTGTTTCAATTTTCTTCTATTAGAGATAATGTAGTAGGTTGTGTTTATACCTTTGAACTATTATTTAGTGATTACTGTAGCTATTACTGCTTTAGCTTATTAAAGACTAACAAATTTTAGATTTTACTTTCCAACAATTTAGAGATTTTAGAACATTACTAAATAATTACTCTCCTTTTAATTCTATTGCTGTTAAGTATTTTAGTTCTATATGTAGTACTTCAAATTAGTATTTATTTAGATTTACCCACTGATGTACCCTTTTACATATTTATGGCCACATCTCCTGTCTCCCAGGTAGTTTATCTTCCTTCTGCTTAAGGTATTTAGATATGTTAGTAAATATTTTAGTTTGTCTTTTTTTTCCCTCTATCCTGATGTCTTTATTTCACATTTATTCATAATGTAAGTATAGAATTCTAAGTTGGCAGTAATTTTCCCATAGTACTTTTAAATACCTTTGTTTCTTTACTTATTTTCCCTGGTAAAAAACTTAGCTGTTCAGCTAATTACTGTTCTTTTTCAGGTAGGGTCCCCCTGCCATTTTCTGGTTTTAAGTTTGTTCTTTGTCCTTAATTTTCATTAGTTTTGTTGCGGTATGCCTCATTGTGGATTTCTATTTAATGCTTTTGAATTTTTAAAACAAAATTTATAGTACAAACCTTTCATTAGCTTCAAAAATTCTCGCCTTTATTGTCTTTTGTTGTTGTTTATTTTGTTTTGTTTTGTTTTTAAGTGCAGGGACTTACATATGGTAGGCACGCACTCTATGTCTTTATAATGTTGTTACTGGCTGTTTCTTTCTCTGGAATTCTGTATTTAAGTATGTTAACTCTTTTGGCATTGTTTTCTCAGTCTCGTACAGCTTCCTGTGCTTTCTATCCATGCTTTTTCTCGCTATCTTTTCATCTGACCTGTCTTCTAGTTCACAAATTATCTATTTAGCTGTGAGTGATCCACTTTTGAAGCTACCCATTGAGTTTTTGGTTTTAGAATGTCCATTTGATTGTATTCAGTTTCCAATTTTTTGTTGAATTCTCAATTTAAGATCTCTGTTCTATAAATCTAAATCTATAAAATCTCTATATACTAAGCATTATTATTTGAAAATCTGTGATAATATTATCTGAATATCATTGGGTTTTCCAATAGTTGTTATTTCTCTTGGCTTTTGTGTTCAGATTCTTTATTTTCTCCTATTGTTCATTGAATATATTATTACTATCAATATAGAACTTCTTTAAACTATTTTCTGATATAGTGTAAAAATAGTCCTCTAAATAGTGTTTATATTTGATTTTGGCTTTTGATAACACAGAAATATTAATTTATTTTATTAAATTCAATTTCATTTCTTACGATGGCTTATCTATTTGTAGTTCACCTTTAGTCCCTATGGTGTATCCCTGTAGAGGTATAATCCAGCATTTACTTTCTAGGTTGTGTTCCTGTGAAACTGTAACCCATGGTATAAAGAGTCTCAAAAATCTCTTCTAGGAGGGGTTGTGGACTGCAGTTTTTTCCTCTAGTCTGCAAGGCTGATAGATGTTCTCATTTTAGGGGTTGGGTGTAGCACAGTGGTATGGTACCTAACACCAGGCTCTGGGTTCAGTTTCCAGTATGCAAAACAAACAAAAACAAAAGGTCTGTGTTTTTAAGCTGTGTCTTCCAGAATAGGGAAGGCCATTGTGGGAAAGCTGCCTTAAATTCTAAACTCTGTCCAGTTTTGTTTCTTCAGGATATTGTCTCCTTGTTACCCCTAAATCCTGAAGAGCTTTTTAAAATACATTTTTCAACTTTCCTAGTTCTTAGTGTTTTTTTTTAGCCTACCTTATTTTTTCTCTATGTGGGTGTATTCAAAATGTACGTATTGTAGTTTTCATAGGAATAAAGAAATTTAGTAATTTAAAAACTGGCTTTTGCTGCCTTCTTGATTTTGTCACTCTAAATAGAGAATTCCATCTAAGTCTTCTCTTTCTATTCCTATTTCTTTTTGACTTATGTTGCCTGTTTCTCAGAAAAAATAAGAATAGGAAAGATTTTAAGTTCAAAATGGTTTCCAGTAAATAAACTTGAAATAGTAGTAATATTTAGTTGAAATAATTCAAACAAATTAATATAAGTGCTTATAAATTCTGGGTGCTGTCAGTGCTTGGATATACATTGGTAAAATATTGTCAGACACTTCATTGTAGATTGAGATTTTGAGTAAGAATAAACATAACCAGAGTAATTATCTAGTCCCTGTAGATACTAGGAAAGACTAAAGAAGGTAAATTTATGGAAAGATTGAAAGTCCTAATGTATAGTAACATGTTTTTTGTAATTCTAGTTATAAAATAGTTTGTGTTGAAGCTACTTGAGGTATATATTCTATGCAGGGGTACTTAAAGCCACCACTGGTGTTTGAAGGTATCTCACTATACAGTTGTAATAATGGTTAAGATTTATTACAGTGATATAAAAAACACTGATCATAAGAGGAAAAGGCACAGATGAGATCCAAAGAGTGTGTAGGTAAGCATTTCTGTGCTTACTCCCTCTCATGAATGGACGGAGCACATTCTTCCCTAGAAATGAAAATCTGTGTGATGCTTCTACCCAGGTAAACTTGTGATAGACCCAGCACTAAAGTTCACATAAGTGAACTCTGCCCAGCATACCCAAGAAGCCAAGTGTTTTAACATAAACTGCTGTGCTGTTAATGTGTAAGCACAGTGAGCCACTGTTCATTTAGAGGTTTTATCAGTGTAGAAATCTTCACCAGGCAAATTTTCAGCTGCCAGACAAGTATCAGGCTCACTAGTAGGTCTTCCTATGGAAGGTGTTCTCAGCCTGTGTTAGTTAACTTTTCTACAGGCATGCTGATTCACTGTTAAAATTTTGTACATTGTGTGTAAATATCAGAAGTCTGCATGATTAGTAACAATGTTCACTAATAGATAAAGTGCCTGATGTTTATATCTTAGTGTTTTTAGTACAGACTTATTAATGTGTCAGTGCTTCTTGTCCGTTTTAATTCGTGTGGGGAAAAACAGGGCAGTGTCAGAACATTCAGTACATCTAATAAGAATGTTTAAAATTAAATTACACTGGGAAATAATCCATTATGAAAAGATAATTCAGTTGTCTCCTTTTAAAGTTCATATTAAACCACCCACATATTTTTTAGATTTCAGTGGACTTATTTTCCTATGAGACCTTTTTGGGGAAAGTACTGTATAACCAAGAATTTTGGTTAAAATAACTGAAGCTGAATTTCAAATTCAGAAATTTGAAAAAATCTCCTGACCACTGTTAGAATCAAGTAAAAGAATTTTAGATATTAAAGACTGGTTTCCTCTTTTATAAATGTGGAAGCTAACCCAAAAAGTTCAATGACTGTCAGCAAAAATTGTGAATAGCTAGTTGAATTTTGTCCGTTTTTAGTCATAAATGTTAATGAAAAATACCAAGAGGAAATGAATTCATTTGACTTTGCATATCTTTGCTTTTTATACCTAATTTGGTCATATTACTTATTCTGTAGTTTTAATATTTTGTTTAGCTTCTGCTATATGTTAGATGATAGTTTAAATGCTGAGATAACTATTTTCTCCTTTGTAATCAAAATATATTCTTAAAGGTGGCTTAGTGATGCCCGCTTTTCTTTAACTTCTAAATTACATGTATCTTTAGCTTATGTCCTGGTCCCTGAAATTATTTTTATTTTTTCTTTTTCTTCCTTTAAGGTAATACTGCATTGCATGATTGCGCAGAATCTGGAAGTCTGGACATCATGAAGATGCTTCTTATGTATTGTGCCAAGATGGAAAAGGATGGTTATGGCATGACTCCCCTCCTCTCAGCAAGTGTGACTGGTCACACAAACATTGTGGATTTTTTGACACACCATGCACAGACCAGCAAGGCAGAACGTATCAATGCTCTAGAGCTTCTAGGAGCCACATTTGTAGACAAAAAGAGAGATCTACTTGGGGCTTTGAAATACTGGAAAAAGGCAATGAACATGAGGTACAGTGATAGGACTAATATAATGAGTAAACCAGTACCACAGACATTAATAATGGCATATGATTATGCCACAGAGGTAAATAGTGCAGAAGAGCTAGAAGATCTTATTGCGGATCCAGATGAGATGAGAATGCAGGCGCTGTTAATTAGAGAACGTATTCTTGGTCCTTCTCATCCTGATACCTCTTATTATATTAGATATCGTGGAGCTGTCTATGCAGACTCTGGAAATTTTAAACGATGCATCAACCTGTGGAAGTATGCTTTGGATATGCAGCAGAATAATTTGGACCCTTTAAGCCCAATGACTGCCAGCAGCTTACTATCTTTTGCAGAACTGTTCTCCTTTATGCTCCAGGATAGGGCCAAAGGCCTGCTGGGTACTACTGTTACGTTCAATGATCTTATGGGCATACTGTGCAAAAGCGTCCTTGAAATTGAGCGAGCTATCGAGCAAACTCAGTGTCCAGCTGACCCATTACAGTTAAATAAGGCTCTTTCCATCATTTTGCATTTAATCTGCTTGTTAGAAAAAGTTCCTTGTACTTTAGAACAGGACCATTTCAAAAAGCAGACTATCTACAGGTTTCTTAAGTTGCATCCAAGAGGAAAGAATAACTTCAGCCCTCTTCATCTCGCGGTGGACAAGAATACTACATGTGTAGGGCGGTACCCAGTTTGCAAGTTTCCATCTCTACAGGTTACTGCAATATTGATAGAGTGTGGTGCTGATGTGAATGTCAGAGACTCTGATGACAATAGTCCCCTCCATATCGCTGCTCTGAACAACCATCCAGACATCATGAATCTCCTTATTAAATCAGGTGCACATTTTGATGCCACAAACTTGCACAAACAAACTGCTAGTGACTTACTGGACGAGAAGGAAATTGCTAAAAATTTGATCCAGCCCATAAATCATACAACATTGCAGTGTCTTGCTGCTCGTGTCATCGTGAATCATAGAATATATTATAAAGGGCATATCCCAGAAAAGCTAGAGACTTTTGTTTCTCTTCATAGATGATGACTTGACTGTATTTTTAGCACGAATTGGTAACTTTCATAAGTGAGCACTGTTGTGATAACACCAGCATTCATTTAGCTTGATATCATTGTGCTCTCATTGGCTAACGCATTATAACCATCAAACTTACAGGATTGGTTTCCCAGTATTTAATATAAATATGCCATATAATATATTGTTTGTGAGTTATTAAGAACTACAATATCATATCCAAATTTCTAAAATTGTTTGCCAAAGGCTTATGATTCTGGTGTTTTTTTGTTTTGCTGTTGGGTATTTGGGACAGAGTTAACTGTTTTTCAGTGGTATCTTTATACTTTACTGGCTTGTGAATTTTATACAATTGAAGATCTTTTTTTCTTGCTTCTGCCTTCTAGCTTTTCCCATCTCCCCTCCCCCCACCCATTTCTACTGTCTTTCCTTCTTACAGACCCAGGCTAGGTCTTAACAAACCTATGGACTTCTTTCTACCATTTCCAGTTACCATAAGTGCTTTATCTTCTCTATGCACCGGCTTAAACTTGACTGTTGTATGTTAGCATATTTTCTATGCAGCAGTTAGTCAACTTCAATTCAAAATGCGTTTTAAGTTTGTTACAGAGTTCATTTTATGCAAATACTCTTATAGCATGACAGTTTTTAGAACTGCAGGTTAGCTATCTGAGCTCAAGCTTTTATTTTTTGTTTTTTCTTTCACATCTGAAGTTTCTTTCTCTAATCTGCAGAAATTTTTGTGTGCTAAATTTGGGAAACAAATCTATCCTAACTCATTAACCCAGTTGAAATTTAGGTTTGTTATCTTAATATATCACACAATAAGAGGAAGACTCTTTAAAGTGACCCACCTTTCATACTGCTCCAGCATTGTCTTGCTTGTGCTGATAGTGTGGGTAGGTGTAAAGAATTTGCTTAAATTTAACCTCAAAGTTTATCACACTGCTTAACAAGTCACTTTGAAATACTCAGTCACTGAATTGCAAAAAGTTTTAGTTACAAAAAGAGCTAAAGCATGTCAGTGGCATGATGCTTGCCAAACCAGATCTAGGCGTCTAAGATAATTAAGGTATTTTAGTACGCAGTTTACTACCATAGTATCAGAGGTCAGTAACAGTGTTCTTTCTTTCTTCAACTTTATGTATACCTTAAAGATAACTTGCATGAATTACTTTGGTCTCAATTATTTGTCACCTTAGTTAAATACAAAAAGTTACCGTGCTTCCTGTTCCTGTACTGAAAATTAGCTTTGCCTTCCTTCTCTTTCTCTCTCTCCCTCCCTCCCACTTCTCTCTCTTGTCTCTTTCTCTCAGATTTGCTAATGCCACAGAAAGGGCTCTTTTAAGTGAAAAATACTAAAAAAAGATTCAGGTAATTATCGTTTAGCACTTTATTGTTACTCAGAATAAAATTTATGATGGCATATTTGCCCTTGCAAATGTCTTACTAAAACTGTTCTGAATAAAAAGTTCCTTATTGATTTGAGAAAAATTCAGTTTACCTGTGAATTTAATGAGCTGGATCACTTACTTGGATTTTGGGAGTGACATTTTATTCTGAGGGTTAACGTAATGCTATTTAAAGAGTCATTACAAACAGTCACAGTAGGTTTAGCTTCATCTTTATTCAGTGAAAACTTGTAAGGAAGAATAGTAAATAATAAAGAACTTAGGATTTTTGGTTCAATCAGGTGAATTTTTAAAAAAACATATCCTTATTTTACTGATTTGGAAATTAATTTCACCACTTAAAGAAATGGATTAGTAGGTACACACCAGCCTTTTGATGAGATTTTACTATAGGCAAATTTGATGAACTATTTGAACTGCCATATATAAAATTAATTTTGCAATTTAATCATATTCTAGAAATACCAGACGTTGAGTTCATTTGCTTCTGACCTGTGCTATAAGAATTATATATGCATGAGCTACTTTTTTTAAGAAAGAAAAACGTTGCCAGTGTAAGTAATATACATTAGTTGAACTCAATTTTGGGGTGAAAATTTACAATTAGAATTTTAAGTGACTTACTGTTGCCCCCTTTTGGGTGTGGGGTGAGGCTTACATGTTCTTAGAGTAGGCACATCTAACACTGTTTATGGGGAATGGAATCTTGCAACTCCAGTATAAAATAGGGATTTCTTTAGCTTTTTTCTACCACTAAAACAAACAACTTAGAACTGGTCCTCAGTCTTGATGACTGCAATGCCTTATTTCGGTTCAGATGCTATTCTCTGTAGAGGCCTGTAGGTGCCCTTAAAAAATCTGTTAATAGCTCGAAATTTTATTTTAGAAAGAATTGAATAATCAATGTGACTGCAGATACTCTTTAAGATCTTCGTCAGAACATAGTCTCAAATTTTTGAGCCTGAATAAAAGTTCTTAAATTTGTGTTTTTATACCCACAGATGAAAAAATTAAATAATGAACTAGTTGTACTCAAATTAGACTTTACACCATAGCATAGTGATGTTGGCTGGAGTTAAAGTATAAGTTTTTACTACATTTCATCAAAAATGCCTTATTAAGGCCCTTCTGAATTTTAGGCATTCTGTGAAAAACGTTCATTTTACTCAGTCTACTTTCTCAAGACAAATGTATTATAGATTTAAAATAGTCATTTTCTTAACTTGTAAGCATAAGTCTGAATCAGCAGAGATAATTTGGAGCCCTTGATGATTTTGAAGGCAAATGATTCTTCACATTTAAAGTGACTACCTTATTTTGTTATATTTTAAAGACCTCATTTACTATGAGTTTGGAGAACTGTTTAGGTTGTATTTGCAAATAGGTCTTTAAAATCCTTGCTCAGCAAACCTTTGGCTGAATTTACAAGCATCTTATTTATTTTTCTGGGAATTGTAAGGGCTGGATGAGACAACATGTACAGCTGTAACAGCAGCACTACTGTTTGGAACTTTAATCATTTTAAAATTAGATACTAAGGAAACTAACATTAATTGGTCATCATTTTTTTTAATGCCCTTATGTTTGACTAAATTCTCTCCCCTTTGTCAGTTCCCATGTGTATTTTTCAAAAGAAATACTGTATTCAGATGCCAACCAACAAATTGTCACATAATGGAAAATGATATGCCACCACATTCATTGTAAGGTTTAATAAAATAAATTTGCACCGAGTTTAAGTGTATTCTTATTAACTCTTAATACTCAGTGGCTGTTATTACCTAAAATATATGATAGTAGACTCCTTTTTCACAAACCACCTCCAGGATAATTTTGTGTACTCCAGCTAGAATATATTATTAATACTTGTGTGTAAAAAAGATGGTTTATGTTTCAGTGTCATTTTTTTCTAGTAACAAGTATAGAAACCAAAAATAATAAGAAAAGTTGTGAAATGCATAGGATGAGGGCTGCTCTTAATTTATAGTTTTTCATGGGTTTGGTATTAGGCACCAGAAGTATATATAATAATACAAAAATACATAGTACAGTGAAGATAAGTTTTATCTATTTATCATTTTTAAATCAAAATCTAAGTAGTCCTTGTCTGTTTCTTATGTCTGAATTACCTAATACAATGAATTTTAATTGATCAAAAAGCATAATTTCTAAATTCTTGAGTACAAATTGAAATACAGTGTTAACAGGTATTTCCCTTATCAATAATGATTCTTACCCATGACAGGTATAAGCTTTGTCATCCTTTTAAAAGGGTCCTTTTAAAGTCTTTTTATCTCTTAAATGGTTCTATGGTTGGCTCCACTACATTCCACAAATATTTAAGAAATCTTAGAAAATCTGTGAGGAAAAGAATTCTAATGGTCTTGTCTTAGTTACTTTTTCTCTTTGCTGATACAAATATCCAACCCCCAAAATTAAAGGAGAGGTTTTATTGTAGCTCACAGTTTGTAGAGGTTTCAGTTCAGAGTTGGTTCTAAGGAGGATAGCGTGGCAGAGGGGCAAAGCAGAAGAAAAATGGTTCATGGCTGGGAGAAGACAGCAAAGGAGTGAAAACTTGTTCCAAAAACAGCTTTCTATCCCTTGTATTCTGTCCAGGCTACTGCCCTTAGGCCAGGTAGTACTCACACCCTTGCTGGGCCATCCTCCATCCTCGCATCACACCATAATCAGTTCTGGCCTTAACCCAGCATCACAACGCAGCGTTCAGCTGCCAGCTCTACCTGTGACGGCATGAATGGGGGAATTAGATACGAGTCATAGCATCAGAACAAGAAAAAGGCTATACTATTAGACCCGTCTGTGTTGAGAAGTTTGAGTTAGAGAAATAATTGGTTCCTAGGCGTCGTATTACCTTACTGTATGTTTATTGCAAAAATTTACAGCTTTATATAATTGTGTAAGTTTTTAGTTGAGTTTCCTAATATGTTTACATTTGATTCCAAAAGTGGAGTAATAAAATTCCCTGATTTTTAAACGTGAAAATACGAATTTACAAAAGAAATAATTAAGGCATACATTCCTATTAAATAAAAATTCAGTGAGTAGTAGTTCCACTGGCAAAATTAGGGTGCTTATTAACCACTGCACACTTTAATACAACTTGAGAGGTAATTGGTTTAAAGTATTTTGACATTATTATTAACAAAACTAAAAATGGAAAGACAGTTCAATCTATTACAAAAAAACGGAAGTTCCCAGTATCTTTAATGACATCTTTAATGAAGTGAGTTCTACTTGATTTTTTTAGACATATGTGAGCTAATTTATACTTTCTTTCTTTTTGAAAAATCAAATACAATTTCCTTAACAGATTTTCCCCTTTTGTTACATAATAGATAATACTGATTGGCCTTAGAGTGATAGTTTTAAGATTTTCATCCTTATAATCATGTTTATTGATTATTAAACTGTAAAGAATACTTGTGATACTACATAGTTCTAAAATGTAGTGCCCTGATTATTTGTTTATATTTGAGACAGACTCTCACTGTGTAGTTCAGACTGGCTTTAAACTTGCTATGTAGCTCAGGCTGGTCTCGATCAGCCTGCCTTAGTGATCCTACCTCAGCCTCCCAAGTGCTGGAATTACAGGCATGTGTCACCATACCCAAGCACTGATTACTTTTTTGAAAGCAAAATATTTAATACATTTATCACAAAGGCTCAATTGGGGAGATAATTTTTAGGAAAGAAAAGGACTTCAGTTACAGAGGCTGAAAAAGGACCATCTGAGGGGGAAAAAAAATCAGGGAGAGGATCTGTATGAGGCAAATCAGGAAACTCGCTTTATGCAGAGTTTTTACAGATTCTTGAAAGATTGTGAGTTACCTAGCTAGCATTTAGCAGCATTTGTGCTCGAAGTGGTTGCCATGCTGGGTCCTAACAGGCTGTGGATGGATAATAGAATGGCCCAAGGTCATGCGAGATGTCCTGGAGGATGTTACCTGGGCGTCCACTTTGTGGTGCTGAGAGGGTGCTTTAGTGAAATAGCCATGGGGAAATCGAGGCACACGTCAGCTCCAGCTTCTCGTGTACTGTTCCCATTGCTTCGTAGGTGATCCCTATAGTGAGGGAAGTCAGCAGTTCTTTTGTTGCAAGACATTGAACTTCATTTGTTGCACCTTGTAGGGAGGGCAGCACCTTGTAGGACCAGATCATTTACCAGGGCATCATCACCTTGATTCTTCAGTAAAAGTAACATTAGTTATGCATTCCATGAGTGTCACTGAGTTTCTGCAGCAATAAGCACTGCCACAGAAGGATCATTATATCATCTCACCGTACAAGGCTAGCAAATGAAAGAGAAAACTGTCTATCTCAACCTCCCAGTTGTACCTAGTGCTTAGTTCTGTTTTCTAACCAACCCCCCTCCCTATTTTACTGATTCTTTCATTCAGAAGTTCTTAAAAGTAATGAATGACAGCTAAAATTTGGTAGATTTTGAAAGTAAGAATTAGGTCAAGAAGCTGAGTGTGGTGGTAATTCCAGCACTCATGAAGCTGAGACAGGAGGATAGCTGCAAGTTTGAGGCCAGGCTGAACTACTTAGTGAGTCTAAGTCTTACCACTCTGAACGCCCTGATCTGGTCTGAACTGTGAGGCCCTGTCTCAAAAAACATTCCCCACTACCACAAAAAGCAATTAGGTCAATTAACTAGTTTATGTTGCAATGATGAGAAAAAATTAGGGATATTTCTCATACATTGCACACACATACAAATCAATAAACACACATACAAATCAAATTCTTTGCTAGTAGGCAGCAATTGTTTTCTATGCCTTTTTAGTGACTGACAAGGTATCCTCTAGTCATCTAGATGTAACGTTTAAAGAACTTGTGAAAGCTTTTAGTTACACATTTAGAGCTGTAAAACATTTAATCTCTGATTTTCAGATCTTAATAGTATTTTTCTGTTTGCATCATTAACAGGTCTTAATATATTTGATGAAAAGTTTTATTTTGCAGATAAAATACACAGATTTGTAGACTTGATTTCTTGAATAGTCTGAAACTAAAAAATGTTCAAGTATTTTTATATTTACGTAAAAGTTGCAAAATTAGTACATGTGCCCTTCATTTAGGTTCCCCTAATGTTAACACCTTATGTAAGCATTATCTAGGTCAAAATGAAGATATTAATATGGGTACCATACTGTTAGCTAAATTACAGATGTTACTTGAGTTTCACATTTCTCTTATGGATGTCTTTTTACTGTTTCTGGCTCCAATCTAATTCCACATTTCCATTTAGTCACATGTGTCCTTAACCTAACAGTTTTTTCAAGTTTTCATGTTTTCCAGATTTTGACATTTTTAAGAATTGATTAAACATTTTATAGAACATTCCTCAGTTCAGTGTCTCTGATATTTTCTCATGACTATACTGGAATTGCAGTTTTCTGGAGAAAACTAGGCAGATTTGTAGTAGCCTTCTCGTAACATTCTAGCAGCATGTACATGGTGCCAGTGTGACTTACCACTATTATGTGAACTGTGATTACTTGATAAAGATGATGTCTGCCAGGCTTCTGTGCTATAGAGTTATACCCTGGGAACAAGCTACTAAATCCAAATAATGCAAGGGGGGAAGAATTAAGCTCCACTTTCTGAAAGGGGCATATATTATTTGGAATAATATAATAATTATTTCATTGCTTAAATTGTTCCAGGTTTGGCCTTTAGGAACCATTTTCTATTTTTTATTACTCTTCCCTGCTTTCTAGCACTGCAAGATGCTCTAGGCACGGGATGTAGTTCAGTAACAAGACATATCCTAGCACGCATGAGGCCACTGCGCTTCCACAGAGTACTTCAGGATATATATGCCTCTATATATTATATGTATATATAATATATATATTAAAAAATTGTTTTTGCCCCAGCCCTACAATCAGTCACTTCTCCAAATAGCCCAGGAGAATGGTATTTAGGACCCATGATTTGAGTGCTGACTTCACTGTTTTAGACCTCAGTGTGAACAGAACTAGGAAATAGATAAATGCATACTAACACATGTATACACATCTACAGTAACTTTTGTTTTGATTTGTATACATGTATTTAAAATAAATGAGTTTGTATTGTTATTTCCAACCAGGGATCCAGTATCAAAGCATTTATCCTGGATTTTGCCTTTTGTAACTTCTTTCTCTGACATGCTGTACTAACTACAGTTATTTTTGAAGTCCTGATACACATGTAAAGTATCTGCAAAACTGCTAGCCTGGAATATTTGTAAAAGATTTGCCTACTAGTGTGTGGTATTTTTGTATATTTCTTTTTTACCTTAACATTATGTAAGGCCAGGGATATAGCTCAGCAGCACAGCTCCTGCCTGCTAATGTGAGGTCCTGAATTCAATTCCTGGTACAAAAATAATTATGTAGTCAAAGCAGATTACAAAGTTACTTAAGGCAGCACTAACAAAACATTTTTCCTCCAACAAACATTTTTTTGCCAGGATCAGATTGATTTATGTCCTTATAAAGTTAATTATCATTTATATAGATTTACAGCTATACTCAACATTTTTAATGACTTTTTAAATAGACATCAAAGCAAGTAAGTGCTATAAGGTAAGACTGCCAACTGTAACTCATCTTCAGCAAAAACAGCAAAATGTATTACAGACCTAAAGGACAAACATTGGTCCTTAAATTATTTTCTTCGTGTCTCAGGTGGCTGCCCAACAATCTAATTTTTGGCTTTTATT